TTACATTGAGCTCTACCCTGATATGGTTTCAGTATCGCATTATTCACTGTGAAGTGGGCGCTTTTAACCCTCTCCTAGTCATTTCATTTTGGATACGTTCTGAGTCAAAATAGAAATGATTAGATAGTAAGAATCCGATTTCCAAACATATTCCGAGCCTCATCGAACTGAGGACATTGCTCAGATCAGTTCCACACGCATGCCAGCGAAGTCGATAGCTGCACGTACGGTAGTCTCGCACTTTCCGGACAGTTTTATAAATCCGTAACAAGACCAAATGTGAACAAATAATCTGAAAAGCTCTGCCAGGGAGATAGTATCAAGGAGACAATCTACGCCATCTCCTAAACTTTGCCTTTCAGTTAGCTTTCACTTGTTACCTGCTACCAAATGCTGCAAATGCATAAACTGTGAGAGACCACATGTTAATCGTATCCAGTACAGTGGCATGCATATTTTCGTCAAACCTTTAACTGAAAAAACCATTACCCTTAATATTCCGCCATCCTATCGTGTTGAAACGATCAAGAACCAGATTTTTGATAGAGAAGGAATCCGACCAGCTGAACAGATGCTGATTTGCAGTGGTACTTCTTATCATACATTAGGATTCGTAAAACAGTTCCTAATAAATTTGTGCACCAGGCAATTTTCAATTTAATAAAATCCCCTCCTCTGGCAAATCGCTGTCCTCTCACGGAATTTATAATGAGTTACAGTTCACCTAACCGCTCGGTGAGTTGGTGGACACTTCTGACATGATTTTTACTCAGGTAAATTTGCCAAGGATTTTTGCGAAACTGAAATTGAANATTAGGATTCGTAAAACAGTTCCTAATAAATTTGTGCACCAGGCAATTTTCAATTTAATAAAATCCCCTCCTCTGGCAAATCGCTGTCCTCTCACGGAATTTATAATGAGTTACAGTTCACCTAACCGCTCGGTGAGTTGGTGGACACTTCTGACATGATTTTTACTCAGGTAAATTTGCCAAGGATTTTTGCGAAACTGAAGTTGAATAATCGAATTTTAGACCGAAGCTTTCTGCAAACATACGCATTGTGTTAGCAGTATTAAGATTTTAATAAAACCTGCTGCCAAGATGGTAAATGAATTCTTATCAACCTGCGTTTCGGCGTTATCGCCTTCTTCAGAGTTGGAAACCTCCAACAACAACCGGTCGTTTAGACGACCGCCACTAAACTCGGTTAGTTAGCTTAATGCAAAGCTTTGCCAAGATTTATCGAGAGCCGAATATGGACGCTTATGAAACAATACAATAGCAGAAAAGCTGCTCATTTGTAAACTAATAAACAATAGCAAAATAGATACGGTAATAAAGTGGCCCAGAACTTGAACCCTGGCTAGACTGACAAGTCTCAGCATATTGAAAGCGTTCAGTAAGCGGTGACTATTTAAAAAATATTTCAAGCACGTAGCTTTTTAGCGAGTAGGAGGAGCGGTGCAATGTTCACGGCTTGCTGTTTTTGAACAATATCATTTGATGGTATGACTCACAATAGCACAGTGATGTATCATGTATTATTGTGTCGTTCAAAAAGTAATTAAAATTTTTGAGCGTTTCACAAAACAACTTCTTCATCCTTCTCAAAAAAACCTTGAGGAATGAACCATTTTGTTTCGGTCTTCTTCTGTCTTCTTTGTGTTGACCTCGAGCTTCGCTCATTCCTGGTAAACTAAATTTTCGAATTCGGGATTTTTGTAGAAACAACTTTTCGCTTTCCCTGACAGAAATATGCCTGGAAAATCATCTTCGTATACGCCACATTATGTTCTATTACTTCGAGAAATGGGACGGCGGCCCACTTATTACGTGATCTCAACGAACTTCTCGGCGATGGAACAATCAGCAAAGCCGAACAAGGAATGGAATCTGCTTCTGCGGCCGCCCTATTCACCAACAGAAATTCCTATAGATTTTCACGTTGATCGCCCGTTGAAAAGTTGGTCAACGAACAGAACTTTCGCCGAAGTGTATAGCCTGATGGCGGACGTCGAGGCGAGATAGCCTCCAAGTATCGAGACTTCTTCGCCTGTAGAAGCCGATCGCCTAGCGAATGAGAAGCAATGCTTGACGTAGATGATGGATATGTTCCGGAGCAATATTTGAACATGTCTTCGCTAGATATTTCTATCGCTTCTTCAAGTAAAATTTGCTGACAAATATCCGCAATAATTATGCATAACCTAATAATTACCATAATCGTTAGTGAATGAAGTTATCGTGAACATTCTAATTTATCCGTCAAAAGATCATCACCCATGCCTATTGTTTAGCTTACGTTGACGTAGAAAATTGCTAGAACAGAAAGTTGTGGGCCAATCAGCTCTCTAATATGACATTGTCACCTCATGTTTAACATATACCAAGGAAAAACTACCAGCTTCCTAGTCAGCATAGAAGTAAAGAAGTAAAATGTGCCGACAATTCTTCATCTGACACTCCATATTCGAAGAACTTCTTGAATTTCGAATGGGAATGAAATTTGTTTAGTTCTCCTCAAGACAAATGCAAGTATTAGGTTTAGTCATAACTCCTCGGACAAAATGAAAGCGATGACTTTTAAAGACCATAACTCGGGAAAGAGGTGACGAAAATGGACGCGCGTGGCATTATCAGATAGAATATGAAAAGCTCTTCAAAATACTTGGTAACGAACACACCTTCCAAGCCGTCGCAACTCCACCTCGGCAACACCATCCTATTTCTTTTTTTATCTGCCCAAGAACCCGCGGAGATCGATAGACGTATTAAGGAAGTTTACAAGAAGGGTGCTCCTGCTAGATGCACAATTCAGAAGTGGCATACGAAGTTCACGTCGGACGATCACTCCATCGAAAATGAAGACCGTCCGGGACCGTCAATGGAGTTGGATTTGGAGGTGCTGCGGAGCCAGGTGAAAGCCTATCCGTATCAAACTACTCGTGTACTAGCAGTCACCCTTGGAGTGAGCCAGTTCACACTTGTTCATGGATTGAAGTCAGTCGGCAAGGTCGATGGGTGCCTCATGCTTTGAAGCAGTATGACATGGACTTTCGCGCCGACACGGCACATTCTCTCCTCACGCTTAAGCGCAGGAGATGGTCAGGTGTACTTGTTAGTATGTATTTGGAAGAGCATTTTACACTCTCTCTCTAAGGATGCCTCGCGCGTCCATTTTCGTCACCTCTTTCCCGAGTTATTATCTCTTAGAAGTCATCACTATAACATTGTCCGAGAACTTATGACTCAACCTAATATATAAGAGTACTATAAACCAAATAAAAATCGTTAGAACTTCTGAGAAGTTTTTTGAGGCAAGCAATTGATAAAATTGCTCCCAAAAATCGTAATTACTGTCCGAGCGACCAATATTTGCAAAAGACCATCCACATATCCGAATTCGTTTACTGAGGCCTTGTTCACTGTTCCTCTGTTCAGGAAAATGAATGTTACTGGTTCACTATAAATGGTGTATATACATCGACCCCTGTCAGAGTTTCAACATTTCCCAATATCTCAAGTCGGGACCATCAGGAGGAGACGAGATCCAGTTTTCTGTCATTTAACCTTTTTAAAACAGTGATAACAGAGCAAGTGAGGCTGAGCCAAGCAGGAGTCCTGCTCCTGAGTGGAAGCAATGTGAGCCATCAAAAAACAGTTCCTCTGCGAGCCCTCCAGCCACCAGAAGGTTGCGGAAAAATTCTGTAACAAATTATTCACAAAGACCATATAATTTGGCATTATATGCACAAAACCCTTTGATGTTGCTGAAAAAGAATGGGAAACTTTCAAAAAACCTCATTCTCGAATCTCGTTTTATCTTTTCTAAGAGGATGTACTTCAGTTGGGTAGCACGACGTCGACAGCTTCGATGAAACTACTCGTTGAATGGGCATCGAAACCAGGAGAGGGAGCCTTTGAGAAATCCATTCATTTTTATTTCAAATATGATGTTTTCTTCTCACTGGGAGTGGTTTGATCAGATTGAACATTGAAATCTTTGTAACTCGCCCTATTCTTTCCTATGTTCAAAACATAAAGCTCTGATCTTGATTATTTATCTGATTTGTTTTTGTTGTAAGCTGTGTTCATGTACTGACTGTACATGATACTAAATAAATAAATAAAGCGTGAAGCAGTTCATAACTCAATCATGTCCTTCAAACTACGGTACGGTTTGTTTTTCCTTCAAATGTGAGGACATAGAGGTACTCTGAGCGAGAATATTATGCTAGCAAATTTAGAATTTTCTACCTCATGTAATGTCGCTGTAGGCCTTCTTGACTTTTGGTTTTTATCCACGCTGTGCCGATATAGGACTGAATGGCCTAATCGAAACCTAAGTTTCTCAATGATGGCAAAGTTCTCTGAAGATTCCACACAGTGTGAGAGAAGGTTCGAAATAAAAGAATTACATCAAATAAAGGATAACGGATAAACTCTCTGGCGTTAACCAATCCCGTCTGAGGGAAGCGCCCCCGCACTCGACTTCCATTCAGAATCGTAGTGGCGTAATGAGTGCGTATGTGGCCTATACAATGATTTGCGGTGGTCATCCGATATGCAAGTCAGTGCTTTTATCCTTCCAGACGAGTCTGTTACCAATTCACCGACCCCGGAGGGATGGAAAGTTTGGTTGGCCTAGGTGGATACCGATCCTGGATTTGAACCCTTGACCATACGTGTGGGATAGTTCGCCACTTGATACTACACCATCTCCTCCTTTTTCACATAAAATATGTAATGGAATTACATGTCAACAATGCGGGCTTCCTTGTGCTGAAAACCATTCACCTACGGAACCGTCTCTCTGAAAACACATTTTGTGGTCAGAAACTGCTCCGAAGCTTTATTCAGCGCACGTTACCAACTAAACATAATGAAAATCAAGCTTATACGGCTTTACGGTATCAGAAACAAAGCGACTATGTTGAATGAAAAGAAGAAAAGAGTAACTAATTTTTCGAAGTCCATTGATATTGGTTTGACGGAGCCTCATGGGAACACATGTGCCGCCAATGGGCATTCGACATCAACTTTGTTTCTTTCCAACACATAAATTTCCATAGAATATCCGCCAGGCGACGGGTTGTAGTTGAGAGCGCTATTCAGAGCATAAATGTAGCACAGATACTTAAAACAAAATGTCCAATGTGGTATGAAAGAAAGAATAGGCTTTGTTGTTTCGACTATGTTTCTATGGGGTTTCGTAATGGTTATTGGGATCGAAAACCCAGAACTGGACTTCATTTTGGAGTTCTAGTCAGCTGGATACTTGAACTAGTGGAAGAGTAAATCTAAAAAATAACTTTTAAAAATATACAACTACGTTGTGTTGAGGATTAGCCGGATAGCGTGGTATCGGAAAACTCTGATATTTTGCGTGATGAGTTGGAAGGTACGGTGCCGGTTAGATAACGTTCATTCTGGCCAGAGGAAGTAATGACTATCCGGTCGGTTGAAGTGCACATCATTATGGATCCCTGTCAATTCGTCATTATCACGGGTATCATCGCACCGAGGTTTCGCTAGAGTCGGATCTAGTTCTCTTACAGAATTTGAGGATATCCTATATCAACCCGTCGATGGTAGCCGGTTACGGTACTGGCAGTATCAACCTGTCGGCATTGATCGATGTCACTGCAGTGGGATCCCATCAAATCAGCTCTATTCCCGAACGTCTGAACAATCTACTTTACAAGGGGAGGAAGGCATGGATTTCGATGGTTTCACTAGCACCGATACAAACCCACATAACTATGCAGACAAGCACCACCAAGGAATTTGGATATGAGGGATAAGGGAACCAGATGAAATGGGATTTTAGAAGTCTAGTGCTTTCGTAACCAACTGAAAAAAAACTCACATCAGAGCCTTCTGCCTGTATACCAACTATGGCACATTCAGGGAACTCTTCGACACACTTCTTCAAACAACCGCCATAAGTTTGGGAATAGACAGTTTTATAGATGTACATTTCAGCCCATTGTAAATCTTCATATTTGGTAGGCTTGAACGTGCAGAGGTGGGCTTTGTACGCCTAAAACGAGCATGACTTTTTATGGATTCATACTATTGTGCAACATTTTTTTACAATTTTGTGACCAAAAACGTTCTCAAGCGATAGCTGCAGAGAAAATCGTGAGAAAATCGCTTTTTCAACTTATTATACATTCATCGTTAGAGCCAATGAATCACGGTCATGTGAATACTTCAATGTATCACATCTTTACGGTCATATTTCCTACCGCTACACTGACTCTTGATCATTTTCTTTTTTGAAAAATTTTCTCTTTCTGACGGACTACCAACTATGTACATACTATAATAGTAATTAATCCAAAATATCTTGCCCCAACCGTCCAAAAAAAAATACGAAAAGGGAGACAGTCACTACCAGCTCTGAATATTTCTTTTTCAAAGGAATAATTGATTCATCGCTAAGAAAAGATAAGAGGTACTTGCCCAGAGGCCTACACACTGCCTAAGATGAGCCTAAGACTATCACTTTAATTGCTTAGTGAAAAGCTTGTAAGAGAATTTGAGAGGGGTTGATTATTTTGATGGCCGATCAACAAATTTGGAAGATTCTAAAAACCGATACAGTTACGCTTCGGGTATGGCTTGGTAAACAAATGAAAAGCGTTCATTCAGATAGCGAAATGATATCCAATATAACCTCAAGTACCCGAACACGCTGCTGTCTTGAAAACGGTGGATTATCAAGAGTGAGCTATTTTTTACCCTACCGCCACTGCACGTGCATCAATCTCGTCAACAAAATGAATTGCTCCTTGGTATGGGTTATACTCATGCCTATCATAACAAACGTGCGCATGTACGCTACATCTGATTTTATTGGAAGAGTTGCTGAGAAGTTCCTTTTGTTTTACAATTTCCATTTTAGTTTGTATTTTACTTCGTGGTTTTTTATAGCGGCATACCTGTGAAAGGAGAAGAACCCATACAAATGGCGAGACGAGAATTTGGTGGAAAAACATTCGCTCTGACTTTTAACAGTACCTGCAAAGGAAAAACTTTTGTAGCACGCTAAATAGTCAGAGTCACGAATCAGTTATAAAATAGCAGATAACAATAAGGCATTGTGGTCTTAACTGGGCATTCCTGTAAATGTGGCAAATGTCAACCTTTTCGATAGTTATGTTGTAGTTGATTCACTCAAAAAGGTCCTAAAAAAGGAGCGACCTATTTTCTGACTTAGGTAGGTTTCGTGTAAGGATACTCGGCCCATCAGGCTTCTGTATGGAGCGATGGTACGTTGTTTTTCTCTCATGGTAGAACTTTAGCCCAACTTGGCTCTGTCTCAATATTACCCGAGAGGTGCAAAGCCAACGCCTTTCCTTTCACCTAGCGTGTCTGCATCAATATTCTTATATCTAATTACTCAAAATGTGCCAATCCTAACTGAAACTAGCCGAGGCGCCCCAATGTCTAGAGGGTAATAGGAAGGGATTCATGAGATAAAGGCAGGATACTGGAGGGAGAGCTCTTTGTATGAACCACTTTCACCTTTAAAAGAGGCCAGTTTCCATGGATGCGTTTTATGAACAATTCACTTCTATATGAAAAATCATTCTGGACGGATGAAAAGTAATAGATACCCGGTTCAAGGAATGGCGGGTAATACCTTTCTTCAAAAGCAAAATCGTGAGAATGGCGAGAGAGGTGTTTGTTTTTCTTTGATTA